TCCGCTCTAACACATACACAGCCAGTGGCCGAATGGCCTGTAGGGACAGGTATCAGATGTTAGGGGCAGTGCTGCACACCATTTACTTAATGCCCACTTAATGGTACGGATATATAGCTATTTTTGGGTTGTTTTTTACGCCAAACAAAATGTTTAATTTTTTAATTTGTGTTTTTGCTGTAGTTTTGCTGGCGTTCAGCGCATACTTTAAATATTAAGCTAATTATTACATAATTATTACTCTCTTATAGCGATGGGGTATTCGCTGGCAAAACAGCTTTCATTGTTTTTTTTTTGCTTCTCGTAAACACAAAAACATATTCCCGTCGACTCTCTAACTATTATTATCCCGACATTTGCTCTCTATATTAGGCATGCATTCAAAAGTCATCCGAAAACAACACTATTGTAATCATAATTTATGGGATGTTTTTTACGGACAAAAAATACGAGAGAATGAATGAGAATATATAGAAATATAATAAAAATATATTTTATTCCTCAAAACAATTTACTCGTATTGTACTGTATATAAAGTATTGTACTTTTTTTTTGGTGAGCAATCAAACGACAAATAAGTTTATATACTCTTTTTTATTAACTTTTATGTTATAAATGAAATGACTTTTTTGTATGTATTATATAAATAGTGAATAGTTTTTTTTGTTACACAGAATATCGTAAACTATAGTATAATATGAGGGGTAAAAACGAGAGTTATATTTATTTAAATACGAAAATTAGATGCAATTGCATGAAAATCGCATATTTATTTATGAAGGGATTTATGACATTAAATAAAGTGATATTACAATGAAAATGAGTGAATAGTAATAATAGACATCTTTATTAACATTTATTACAATCTCGGGATAGGATTGCAAAACTCATTGGCTTTCTTTTACAGTGAAATATTGCACAAATATATATAACTTTAATGCAAAGCCATTAATATATTTAGATCATAGCTCTTATATAATCATTTTCTTAGACCATATTTTCTCATAAAATTATAGCCAACAAAATATATCACATTTGTTTTGTGTGTGTTTTCTGTATGCGTTTATGCCATATATTCTCTCCGAAAAACTTTTATATGCCATCCATTTATTCAATCATATAATTTATTTGATGACAATTTTCTCTCTCTCCCTCTCTATTGTGAAAAAGGGTGGGTTTTATGTGTAATAAGAGAGTCTTTCCCTTTCATCATCTTCTTCTTGTAAGTCCAATATATATAACATCTATACGTGTATTATATTATAGATACCACACGACTCACTGACTGTCTGTCTGTCCCTCTTTTTCTCCTACATATCCTTTTTTGCTCAACAATACAGTTATTGATGAGTTTGACTAATGGCTTATGGTTTTTGTAAATACACTTCACTTATAATATAATTTATATGTCGAACAGTGGGGTAACAAGACTTCAATAAAAGGTTTATTTCCCACTAATATTTCTATATAATGTTATATTGCACTCAATTCTGGGCACAGAATTATTTTCGCCGCAATTTATATAAATTTATATTGTATTGGATTTGATTTAGTAATCATTGATCTCTATTTCACTTAAAGTTTTAACTATACTTTATATATTGGATGTATGTATGGGAGGGCACTGGCAGTCGAAGTTTGCAGTTGAAGTAATGCCCATTTCGTATGCACCGCTTGACTATCCCTAAGACATGATTTATATATTTGAAGACCAAATTGATTTGATTTCACAATGAGTACCAATTTCTTTCTCTTATACCCATATATGACAGCACTAGTAATGGACGGACAATACGTTTTTCGGCGAACAGAAAAAGTTTTTTATTATCATTTTTGGTAATCAAAACTCTATTGGGTTTTTTAAGTCGAGCCCACGTTTCGCTACGAATAAGCAATTCTTCTCATCTCCTCATTCATGTGTAGGTCTTCTTCTCATTCAAACTGATCGATAGGTTTTGGGAATAAATTTAATACTTGAATATGTCTTCTGAAGATGTCTTCAGATCTCCAACAGAAGGAATCTCTAAGAAATGCTTTCTCGACATAAAATGAGAAACTTTTTATTATTTGAGATTTTGTTTTGTGATACAATTTTCAAGCGTTTTTTGTAATATAAAATATATTTCTTTTAAATGTCTATCAAATGATAGTAAGAGAATATATCCGTAAAAATTATTTTTCAGTAACTCGATTCTCTCTCTCTCTCTCTCTCTCTCTCTCTCTTCTCTTTCTCTCAAAAACTAATAATTTTATTGATTGGAAACTATTGTTTAAATGTTTTTTATTTGTTTGTTTTTGGGCAGTAATACTAAAAACTACTCGATTTGTTTGTCAAAAATTGGTTATTGTATTCGTGTGTTTCTCTCTATAAAACTCAATGAATTGTTTTAACAAAAAACAAAATTAAAGCATTGAAAACGAAAGGAAAAGAAAAATGGTTTGGAAAACAAATACCATTTGCGATATTAAACTCCAGTTTTTTATATATAAAATTGTGTATAAAAACTAGAGACTGTTTTTTACGAGTTATATATTGTGTTGTATTTATATGTTTCTAAACAACGATTGAATTATTGATGCAAACGAACGCTATATTAAGTTATTTATATTTATTTATTTAAACTCAATAATAGTGTTCCCGAGTATTGCCTGTTATATAAGGAGAGATTCAAGACTTGCAGTAAATAAATAAATCAATAAATTATATCAAAAGTCATTTCATATAAGATATTATTTGTTCAAATATAAATTGTAAACTTTAAGCCAACAATAAATATATATAAATCTCTTATTTATATTTGGTTTAAATTTTTGGATGATTTTGTTTTTTGTACTCTTTTTATGGCAAAAAGATTGAATATTTTTGGTCTGTTTTTTGTGAACAAATCAACGAATAATTTTCAATTCAATTGAAATCTTCTCAATGTTTTTGATGATAAAGCTATGTATAAAAGAAATCCTTTTTCCTCTCTATTTAAATCTGTGATTTGAAAATTTGATTAAATTTATTCAAACGGAATAACAATCTTCTTGTCGAGACTATAAATCTAATGATCTCTCTCTCTCTCTCTCTCATCAACTTATTGTATATGCATTTTCAGACATAAATTATCGTTTAGAGGTTTCTGTCAAATTAAGATTCAATTTTTATCAAAATTTAATTTCTTTTCCTCTCTCTCTATATATTTTCAATATAAAAGACACGTTATATAAGGCTCTCTCACTCTTCACATGATTTCACACAACACTCCACTCAATGATAGACACAAGTAATTGATTGAAATAGATTTCAAGCAATCAATTCAATACTCAATTTTGCTGTTTTTTCTCTTCGTTAAGGCATCGCTTCGATGACTGAAATCAAAGTTTTTTAATCATTTGAGAGGACAGACAGGAGAGGGCACAGAGAGGGTGGGGTTGTGTGCGCTCAGGCGATGATCGCCATAAGGAGTACTTTTCAGATCCTAGAGTCTGATTATAACATACTTTCATAACTTCTTCACTCATTTTGTCACTCATATTGTGTTGTTTAGTGAAGACCACTGTTGAGACACCCCCTGAGCCGTATGACAGGTATGGCCACCAATGCATCCCAATATACATATGCGATAATAATAAGGGCTTTTTAAAAATGTGAACAAATTTTTTTTCTGTACATTTATTTCTCATTCCCGTTCACTATCTCTGAAGCACTGCTCTTTGAAATTACCGATAATTTGCCCGAAGCTGTGAATGAAATAATAAAATAATTTTTTATTTCTCTATTCATTCTTCAGGTCAAAGATTTTCTACATTTTCTCTCCTTTTCTTCTTCTTCTCTTGATTTCAATATATGTTTTGGAAATACATTTCAGTATTAAGTGTAGGGAAAGGTTTAGCGATATTTCTTTATCCTATAAAATAGTCGTATATTTTTCAGTTTTAAGGCAACAATTTTATTAATGAAATTTTTTTCAGATACAAAATTACGATATATTTTATATTAAATTATGTTTTGATTTTCTCACGCATTCGTGTTTACGGCGATGAAGAGAAATGGGGGTAAAAATTGTGGCAAAATTTATATTCCGGAGCGAAAAATGCATATAATTTTGTTTCGGGGTGAAACCTAAGTCCAAAAGTTTATACATTTTCATTAAAAATAAACTAAAAAAGTGAAAATTGATATTTTTTATTAAGTGTCGACTTTTATGCTATTAAACCATAACTTTTTTTCCACTCGGCGTGTGATTAATGTCTTCGGCTGTTATTTCTCTCTTACATTTCGTATGAAAACACATTTTGGGAGCAAAAAAATAGTTATCATTTCTTAATTTTCAAACAAAATTGAGTTTTTTGAACGCAAAATTGCATTGAATTGAGAAATGTATGTTATCTTTACAGACCAGTGCACCACTTGTGCCTACTATTTGGTCCCTTTCATTGATATACAGTATTGAAGGGCACAGGGAGTGGTGGAGTAGTGATGTATCTGTCGGCCAATGAATATAAATTGTATATCTATTCTGTATTATAAATTTCGAAACCATTTTCTCTTTAATGTCTTGAAATGATTCGTAAAATTTCAAATAAAAACTTCATTTTATGCTCACATATAAAGCGATGAAACATTTTTTTACTGCAATTAATTAACCACTTATTGGCGATTAAATCGCTTTAAATCTCTCCTTTTTTTTATAGATTTATATTTTTTTCGGGAAATTTATCTCAAGATTTTTTTTTCATGCATTTTTTGTGCTGATAATACAAAAACTTTTTTAATGGTCTAAACATTAGTTTTAATTAATGGCAACAATGGTTTTGCCAATAAATTGTATGTCATATCTGCTTATTATGCATTCAAAACGCAACTCAGCCGTAAATTTCATATTTTTTTTGCATTTGCAAAACATTTCTGATGAAAACTAAATCATTTATCTAAAAATTGCAAAAAATTAATTGAAAAAACACTTTTTATAACATATTTTTATTAAAAATATATACAAAATAATGGCATTTCTATGGGTATTACTGTATGAACGAGTGGATGAACTCAACAAATGTTAAACATCTCCTAACATGAGAGACATTAAACTCAATGAATTAATACTTCCATACATTATATTCAGTGAGTGTTTGGTTTCAATTAGATATTCAATAATTGGTTACAGCAAGAACTGGGATGTCATTGATAATAAAATCTGTGATTTAATATAACTATTGATATAACTTTATTTATACACACAATATATACATGTAATGTACGTCTGGTGTGGGAATGGGATGACAAAAAAGGATGCGATTGTTGTGTATTATTATTTGATATATTGAACGAGTGTGTGGTTTGAGTCCAACACTGATTTAGGCAATTGATTGATGGACACTGTTTTTGAACCACCAGTTCATACAATCCATTATATGTTAAGTTAAGGACAGGAAATGAGTTTTGACAGTACATTACTGGGCGCTGGAGAAGCTCTCGGGGGTCTCTCTCTCCAGCCGACCAACAAAACCAACCCATGATTACTATTTACTAGAGATCCCAATCATTAGTTTTAGTTTATTTTCGTTAGAAATGCATATACGAAGTGAAGTGCAAAAAACACAACTAATAATTGATTATTGCATTCAAAATGTGAATATTATTTGGCAAAAGAAAATACAAGCGAAACAAATGATCGCAACATTTCATTAAAGCGATTACATATTCCGTACATATCATAACCAAATCGTAATTTATAATCAAAATATTAATACAAATTGCTATTCATATAGAAATTTACAAATGAATTGAATGCGAAATGAATGATAAAAACCAAAAAAACTAAATATCTTTCGTCTCTTTATTATCATTTGAAAAACAGATTACGTTGAGTGCAGTGGACGACGAGAAAGGGATAATGGATTTACTAATTCATCAGGAGGAAACAACGATGCGATTACCAAGATGATTAATCCCGGCGATAGGATCAACATTCCGTGCTCTGTAGGCCTAACACCCAGTGTTTCGGTGCAATGGCATCAAAATGGGAAACCAATTCAGTTGGTAAGTCTCTCTCCTCATCATCACTACTGATTCTACTATCAGTCGATATTATAATCATTACTACCGCTGGAAATGGACAGACTGTCTGACGGTTTGCCTTAAAACACACGTTAAAAGCCCAGTATTTAACGTATCAACCAATTCAGCGAATTCACTGATTTCGATGGATTTTCACTCCTATTTTCCACATCCCTTCCCATCCCTTGTCTGTCAATAACTCGATATTCACTGTATTAGTAGAGTATAGCATAGTATTAGTACATTTTCTATCTACTGGTGCTCTTGTCATTTGTCGTTAGGATTAAAAGCAAATTTATATAGTTTTTTCTTGTTTTAATGCATTCAAACCCTCTTTTAATAATTCAAATTGAATTTCAATTTTCGCTCAATTTTTATAATAGATTTTCCACTCTTTTATCTCTAATGTAGTGAACAATACATATATGGATAAGATATTAGGCTATAATTGATGAGAATTTAGTTCAATGTTTTTTTTCTTGTGTGCATTATATCCGATATAATCAATGAATATGTTTAGCGAAATGAGCGCCGAAAGTGATTGATCGACAAATATATATTGGCTTACATTTTGATTATTGATTAATATTATAGATATCTTTCATATTATGAAAGAAAAAGATATATTATTTGCTTTCATTCCTCTGTAGACATGTCTCTCATGTAATATATATTTTTGTTTCAATAAATATTACAGGACTTCAGCCCAACACAGAGGAGGCACTGGAACATCACGAACGACGGCGCGACAGGACTGACCATCAATCGGGTCACCAAAATAGATGAGGGGGTGTGGGAGTGCTGGGCACTCAACAGCCAGGGAAGTGTCACACATAAGGACACTGTCATGAGATTAGTTGTCACCAGTAAGTGACTAATCGTCTCTCCCTTTTCTCTCTCTCTCTCTTTCTCTCAACCCATTTCTAACGCTATTTTTGTTATTCACATCTCGTTTTTCCCTATTATCTAAATCCCATGCTTTGACTGCAATCCCACAAAAACTCATTACCCTTTCCTCTCTTTTCATTTAATCCCAAACAACAGATATACCCGAAGAGCCGTACATAGAGTTTGAGGGCAAACGACTGCCAAACCACTCGACGCTAACCATACGGGAGAATACAGTAGTGAACGTGAATTGTGTGGTGAGAGGGGCGTCGCCGCCGGTGCGGCACATGTTCTGGTATCTGCAGCACCAGAACATCACCGAAGAGAGCAAATTGCTGATGGAGTACTCGGCCGAAGAGGACATCTCGATGGCCATCAGCCTATTGACGATTAACGCCACGCAAGACTATCATAAGAAAGTGATCATATGTCAGGTGTATCACGTGTCGTGGCTTAATCCGGTCACTGCCAGTGCCTCTTTCGACATACAATGTATGTATCCATGTATTGAACACAACACGCACACTACCCGTTCCCCTATCCCTACCCCTACTGTCCCTTTTGCCTGAACCACACTCTCATTCACTCTTTCCGTTTGCCTATCTATTCATGTATTCCACGCGAATGTCTGCTCCGAAACACACAATCAAATAAAAACAAAAATAAATTAAATACAAGACTCTCTCGCAGTTGTTGTTAATGAGAATTAACGACTTATAGCGAGGAATACACTTATGTAGTCGTTATTCTGTTATATAATATCCAGAATATAATGCTTTGCTTTTTTTATTTCTTTCACAACAAACTCATTAAAGTCTAAATTTTCTTTTTGTAAGTTTCATGTGTTGTCGTATTCATTAACGCATACTTCATAAACACAGATAGTGTACAAAAAAATGTGCTGTGAATACCATTATATCATTTCTTGGCTTTCTTTCGGCACAATCACTGCGTTTTGTGTATGAATTCATATAAATAGTAAAACTTTTTTATATTGATTACAATTCAGTTGTTATTTTAACATTAATTCCGAAAACACGTAAAATCCAATCATTAATTTCAGTGTTTCGTTACACAAACATTAAAAAACAGACCTTAAATCTGTAGTAAAACCACTTCAATGAATAGGTATTAAACAGAAAAAACTAATTATATTTTCCTAACGCCCAAACAATCAATTCAATGCATGCATACAAACAGATTTGATTCACAGCACCGAATGTGAGAGAGAGAGAGAGAGAGAGAGAGAGAGAGACTGGGAGTGAAATTCAATTAATAGACTTTGGGATTCAATTATCAGCAAAAATACAAAATTAAAACACGAATTAATTAGTTTTTTCAATGATATTAACATTTTAAACACTTATTTTTCCCTATTTTTCACTCCTGTCGACCATTTGTCTAATATTCTTAGTTTTCAAACAGTATTTCAATTATTTTTCTGCTAAATAAATGATCGCTAATTACTTTTCTCTCTCCGCCACCGATGGCTATCAAAACCTCTTGGCCTCCGAAGACGTGCCCGCGTTCTCCATAACACGCGACCCGGGCTTTGGGTACCCAATACTGGAGGGAATGCCCCTATCATTGAAGTGCGATATCGAAGCCAATCCGTTGAGTGCCGCCAAATGGCACAGGGATTCAGAGCCGAGTCATTCAAACGCTAGTCTTCCGCAGATAGAGACCCAAAGCGACGGTACGCTGTATTTCGCGCACATATCAAAGGCGGACACGGGTTGGTATAAGTGCACGACTGAACACCCCTTCGGACACTTCTCGTCGTTTGGATACTATCTTAATGTTCGTAAACCCTGTAAGTTATCAATGATTTTAATGTGTTTTATTATACAGAGAGGGGAGACAACCCTCACGACCCGCTTATATCTGAAACAGTATATAAACTCTTATCGCAATTTGAAGCGCGTATATAAAACTTTTTTATTTGTTTTAAGCTCGTGTCATTTGCCTATCGCTTTAAAATGTGTATAAATTTAAAGCTCAAACATATTTCCATAAGCTTTAGAAAAACGTGACATTCGTTGAAACGACTATTTATTGTGAAAAATCATATACAATATAATACGAGACAATTATATTAGCGTCGATATCATATCTCCTGCAAAAATGGGGTTTACTTTTAGGACTTTCCTAACAATGGGACTAATAATCCGAAAAACAAAACTCCATTAATAGCGATATCATAGATAGCGGTCTCCCCTACTCTTTAGGCCATTAACTTAATACCAATTGTTTGACACATAAAAGGCTGATATAATTAAAAACCACTATTCAATCCATAGCCGAACTGCACGACTTGGACCACATATTACGGTCACCATTAGCTCCACCGCCGCTGAGCGCCGACGGGATCGGCGGTCCGGACGGCCATAAGGACAGTGAACCCAACGAAGCGGCTCTCATGAAGGCCTACGAGGCGTCCAAAGAGTCGTCGCCATACGAGTCCGCGTCAAATGTGATGCAATCGTCGGCCGGTAATCAGAGGTACGGCGAGAGAAATAGTCCGCAACCCATACAACAGCGCAAGGAATGCGCCGGAAATCATATCAATACCGGCGAACCGGTGATCGATACCATCAATCGTACGGTGAGAGCGCTGGTGGGCAGTCAGATAGCGGTGTCCGCCCGGTTCTGCTGTCAGCCCCGACCCAAAAAGGTTTACTGGATTCACCGGCACTTAGCTCTGATGCCTCAGCGCACTATTGGCCCCTATATTACGCGGGAATTAATCATGGTTTGTATATATCAGCCGACAATTTATCACGTTTTCTTAATACAATTATATTCTTAATACTAATCCCACTCTTATTGATGACTATAAAAGACAGAATTATTGATCGAAACATAAATCAATGTCTCGATTAAATTAAATGCACATTAAATGTGCGCCAATTTATTGAACAATTTATAGTCAATCAAAGTTGGAGATCAGTGTTTTGCTCGCATAGATTGCATTACTGTTTGTGTTTGTCTTTGCACTCATTGAATGCCTTAACTAAATATAATTTAATTTAATTGACAGACAAGTGATTCAATGAATTGCTTTACGTCAACGTTTGAGATAACGTCCGTAAAGCCGGAGGATTCCGGGGATATACTGTTCATCGTTATGAACCCGAAGGGTGTGGACAACGCTATGGTGTCGGTGAACGTGACGGTCGCCTCTTTCTCAGTGTCTGGAGGTATGTGTCGGTCGACTGATATATAATGTGCACTCAATTACCGTCTAATGTCTTATCCGATACTTAAACATCTCGTCCCTAACGAGCGCTGCCTTTTTTGTCGCCAAATATTGACGCTATTAAACGAGACATTAGTTTTTTTTCTCTCTCAAAAAACTTTATATTGAGTTCACATTTTAAAACCATTAATGAGTTTTTTGTCTGTATTTTCTACTAAACAACCAAATGTTTGCCTTATATTTTATGTGCAGATCTTTCGTCGACATTGTTTGCCATGAATGGAAAGACACAACACTTTGTATTATTAACGTTAATGACGATAACATCGTTGATGTGGCAAACGTTAATGTGTGCGCCTATTATGGCCACAACGATAGGGCACAGACAGCACAGACGGCCACCGCTAATGAATGCAATCGCCAGGAGCTGACGATGGCATCGGACGGACGAGTAGTGTTTGTTAAATGGGATAAATGATTGTGAAGTGTGATCGGGGAAGGGATGGGAGGGATAGACAGTGAGAGACAGAAAGTAATTCAATGAAATATATATAATATATAACGAAGAGTGAGAAGAATGAAATGGCAAATGAAGCGAAGCATTAATACATTGATATGTGATTGTAATTCAGAGTCAAAATAAAGAGGACAAGAGATGTGAGAGAGAGAACAGAGAGGAATGCCATCGAAATAATGGATTCAAACAATTTCTCTGACAATTGTTGTGATGTATTGATCAGCAAAAAGTCTTTCGACACAAACAGACAATAAAATATATATAAAGTATTCTTTTGGCTGTCAATAGACTGCGAGAATAATGAGAAGAATAGCATAAAAACAAATACAAAATTTTTGTTTCTTTGCTTTTTTATTCTCTATCGGAGTCTCTCTTTTAAAAAACATAATTCAAACAATTTTCGCTCCGAAAATCATAATAAAAAAGAGTGTTTTTTGTTATTATCTTCTCGTGTGTTGTGTTTGGGAAGTGAAGGCATACAAGAAGTGGAAGAATAAAAATAAAAAAGTAAATCAATCGAAGAAATCATATCAAAGACCGAAAGGAATGAGAAAAACGGCGAATAAATGGCTAAAGAAATGAATGAAAGGAAAATTGTTTTCACTTCATATCCGAAGAATAATATTAATTGATTTAATAAATATATATCTAATTTTGTGATCAAAACATAACACAACACAATAGTGTATAACAAATGAGAGGGAATGGCGTTCACTAAAAGTCAAACAATGAATGAAGAGATCAATGATATGGACAGCAGATGACGAAGAATAACAACTTCTGGAGACGTCAAACAGAAATAACAGAAATAGATATAAAGACATAAGTTTTTATGGCTATAGATATATAGAGAGAGGAATATTCGCGACGAGAGATGAGAAGTGATGGCAACAAAAAAGTTGTGATTCAAAAGCAAGAGAAGCATAACTGAGCAGAAAAACTGATGAAACGATTCTCAAAAACTATAACAACAGCTGCGATATTAACGAAGTATTATATAAGGAGTTATAGATATATATTTCATATAAGAGTTGTTGTGTCGACTATCAAAGCCCTCAACCAATTCCTCACATCATCTCTCGTTTTGTGTGTGTTTTTTGCACTGAAATTGAAAACCAAAAGTTTTTTCGGGGATTAGTTTCTAAAACTCTGCGGCCATTCATATCGAGCCATTGAATTGGAGGCACACATGAAAAGCCATGACTTAACCAACACAAGTCTATACCCTTTTGATCCTATAGACCATCGCCTAAACTCGCCATAACTTTTACTGCCAAGAATTTGTGCTCAAAAACAACTACACATTACAATCAATACTTAAAATTACAATTCCTTAACAAGAATTGCAAAGCAAAATAAAAACTAATATATTGTGCACTGAATTCATGCACAAAAATATTTCGCCCATAATATCAAAGAATATATAAGAAGAAGAAGAATATATAATAAAACACAATCGACTTATATATTCAGTGCTACGATATTTTAGTTGTGTTTTTTCTGTTTCTCCCAATAAAACACACTTTTATTGCGCAAACAAATGAGTTTTTGGCTGAAAAATATGATTAAAATTTTTTATGCAGTTTTGTTTTATGGTTTTATAGTTTCCTTTCCAGAAATATATAGCGATATATATTTCTTTGGCTTTTGATTTGCATAAAAGTTAATGTCTTCATAGACTTGTTTGAGAAGCCGTTTATCACATGAATTATACGCTTATTACTGAATAGCCATAGGAAGTGATGCCAAATATTTGAAATATACTATTTTCACTGTTATTTTGAAGTAAAGTTCAGTATAAGTAAGAAAACAAAAAACAAAACCGATTGCCAAACAATATGCGCTTAAATGTCAAGTATTTTATTACTTGCAATAAAATACACCGAAAATGAGATTTTAATAAATACATGAAATTAAAGTGTTTTCTGCACTCGAAATATAGTTATCAATGGATAATAATATATACGGAAAACTGTTTTGATATAAATATATAAATAAAACCTTTTTTGTAAATATTTGTTTTTAATTGTCATTCTTTTGAATTATTTCCTCTTCTTTTGTACATAAATTGTTGATAATATTTATGATTAAAATATAAATATATTGAATAAAACATGTTTTGAGATAATTGAAATTTGTCATTTTATTTCTCATATAATATTTGTGACTCTTTAACCCTTATGTTTGCCATTTTATCTATAAATTAGCGATAATTTACTGTTAATCCTCTTATTATAAGTGTTTAGTTATTCAATGAAATATTTAAAAAGATTGTGAGACAAGAATTATGGCTAAGAATAAACTAAAAATGAACTAAATTTTGTGTTAATTATTGAATAAAATCTCATCCAATATTTAAAACTACTTGATTTAAAACAATTTTCTAAACTCTTGTGTGAAATATCTATAAATTTCTAAACAATAAGTTATATTAAAATTGCAATCTCGTAAATATTAATTGATATCGAAATGATGTCATAACAGTAAATAAGAATAAATAATAAATAGCATGGTTACATTATTATTCACTTATTTTCCCTGTGGTATAGTTCAAAAAATCTACTCAAATATTAAAATCTGGTTTTATAGAAACAATTAAATGTAATTTAAATTATTCACTAAATTATGTATTAGTTGTAAACATGTAAAACAGCACAAAACGTAAAATACATTATAAATTATTAATAATAGAAAATTAATGTCTGTATTAAAAATATAAATAAAATATTAGTGATTAAACTAACAATCCATAGACCAGAAACCAGACATTCCTGAGTCTGACATTATTAAGCACTTTATTTCACAATATTTTTCTTAATTTAAATCAAATTCATTAACTATTGCATGAAATATAAGAAAATATCATTATGAAAATTCTAGAATATAGAATATACATGTATGGCTACACATTCATGTATTATTCACACGTATTGTCTAATTATTAGATTATGAGTAAAGCATTGACTTTTAGGTGACAAAAACCAGTCTT